ACCTCAACTAGCGAGTCAGCCAGCGTGTCGACCAGTGCCTCTGCGTCCACATCGCCTAGTGTGTCGCCAAGTGTCTCGGCCTCAACCTCAACTAGCGACTCATTCAGCGTGTCGTCCAGTGCCTCAGCGTCCACATCGCCTAGTGTGTCGTTAAGTGTCTCGGTCTCCACCTCAACTAGCGAGTCAGCCAGCGTGTCGACCAGTGCCTCGGCGTCTACATCGCCTAGTGTGTCGGAAAGTGTCTCGGCCTCCACCTCAACTACCGAGTCAGCCAGCGTGTCGACCAGTGCCTCGGCCTCCACATCCGCCAGTTTGTCGTCAAGTAGCTCGGTCTTTATCTCTGCTACTGTCTCAGCCAGCGTTTCGACCAGTGTGTCAGCGTCCACATCGCCTAGTGTGTCCCCAAGTGGCTCGGCCTCCGCCTCTTCTAGCCTGTCTGCCAGTGTGTCTGCCAGTGTGTCGACTAGTGTTTTGGTCTCCTTATCATCCACTGTAGCGACCAGTGCCTCGGCGTCCATATCACGCAGTACTCTGCCAAGTGTCTCGGCGAGTGTATCGACCAGTGTTTTCGCCTCTGTTTCGATTAGTGAGTTTTGTTATTTTTTGAAAAAAATGTTTTGTTGTTTTTGCCTGTTTTGACGTATTTTTGTTCATTTTCAGATATTAATGACTGTGCAAATGTCAGCTGTTCTAGCCAAGGAACATGTAGAGATTTACAGGGCGGTTTTCGGTGTGAATGTTTTCCCCATTACTATGGGGAACTGTGTGAGAACGGTGAGGGTGTTTTTATTTAACATATTGGAATCCGTATTTTTGAGCCATTACGAGAAAAGCTAATTGGCTCGAATTATCGGAATATGAAAAATACCCATTCGAGAAAGCAATATTCATTTTTAGTCTAAAATTTGTTTTTGTTGCTGTAATTTTGTTTTAAATAGGAAATGGTGTCATTTAGCTGTGCCAAAAGGTGTCCAGTGAGAGTGAGACAATCAACTTGACCATCTAAACATTTCATTTTCGGTATTCGTATCTTTCATTTAATGGAGTATAACACATTGTATTTCAAAGCGGAGTTCTTGGAGAGGAAGATATATCTTGGGCGGGCTGTTCAAAGAAGAGTTAAGATAACCTGGGGTTTGTGCGAAATTTGATTTCAGTTTTGAAAGTTTAAGCATCAGTTTAATTCTTTTTTCTTCAATTTGATGATGCATGCTCTAAAAAGAATGAGCAAATTATCCGTGGAATTGCTTTTGAATAGCAGAAGAATAAACCCAGATTAAAATTTAATCCTGGGTTAGTGTGAATGTCAGCCTTTGAACAAATGGGCCCGGGTGTTTCGGGGAAGTAGAAGGGTCTCTAAACGGTTTTGTTAATACACATACACACATACAGCTATTTCGAGAAAGGTTGTCGGAAAAAGTGCACGCGACAATCCCTAAAGGTGTTGTGGGTGGTTTTGAGTTCTTTGTTTTTCAAAGAAATTTGAAAGAATGGTACGAGAGGCCATGGACGTATGTTTGCGGATGCTAAAGGAAAGCAACAATAGAAGATTCAACAGCTACAGTGTCAGGAACAGCGTATTGATCATATCCCATATTACCTTTCGGGATTGTCGCGTGCATATTTTTTCCGACAACCTTTCTCGAAATACACACACACATACACACATACACATATCTGTGCGGGCCTATATGCCGAATTTTGTATTATAAGAGGAATATCAGTTCTATTTGTGTAAAAAATCCTCAAGCACCTAATATTCTGTGATATTTTGATTATTAGTATGGAAGAATGAGACATTGTCTGGTTGCGGCTTCTTCTTAGAACACAGAATGAAATTTATTACCGAGCCGGCCTTCACCAATAGAGTGAAAGGAGTTATCTTTTCATTAAATTCGTAACCTTCACTCGTGACCAATTTAATTTTACAGAATTTCCTCAGTAGTTTTTTGACTGTTCTGAGTTCACCGGCTCTCGAAGGCGTTTTTCATATTATTATAATGGTCAAAATAGTGTAGCCATCTTGGCTATTAACAACGATCCGCGAAACCAATGTAAAAGCTATAAATATAATTCGACTTATGAATTTAAATAATTATTGTATAAACACCAATTAAATACCATTTGAGCTTTCGCGCGAAAACATGATATCTTCACATGTGAAAATACATGTTATCTTCTCACGTGAAATATCACCGTTGCTATGGCTACATAATAAATCGGGCCTTTCACAGCAAAAAACTATTGAAGTTGAAATGGTTTGGTAGTTCATTGGTGTTTATATAATAAATAGAACATTACATGGCCGCTTGAGAAAGAAGAGAAATTTTGGATCTCCGCACGACCACGTAATATTTTCTATTTATACGTTTTATTCCTGTCGATTGATAGGGAAAATGATAAGAGTTGATATCTTATTGTATTTCTTATTTCAGTAATTACTCCATGTCTTCCCGCAAATCCATGTGAGAACAATGGAACCTGTAGCCTTGTGGATAATACCTTCTCATGCAGCTGCTCACCAGACTATGAAGGAATCATCTGCCAAACAAGTAAATATTTTAATATCTTATCTTTCACTTTCAGAATCTTACCTTAAATTACTGATATAGGAAATTTCGATTAAAGATAGTGAGTAGAGGGGCGTAAGTAAAAACTTTCCACAGTTTTCAAAATCAACCATAACCCGTCTCCAAGTTTACATTTCCCCTCTTTTCAGGCAGCATGAACAGCTTGCGCGTGCGAAAAAATAGAGAAAACACCGCATTTTGTGTGAAAAACTGAAATGAAAGAGGACAAAGGGAAGTTATATAGGATATTAAATTACGCCTTTTTCCAGCTATCCCTTATTTAGCTTCTTCTTTATTTTTTTTTGTACGCACGTGCTTACTGCACTGGGCGCACTGGTAGCTACGTCCTTGTAGTAGCGAACCTTTTTTTGGAAAAAAAAGGCAAAGCTTTTGGTGTTTAATGAGGGGCATTTATATTTGCTGTTATAGTTACGAGGGCTGTACGTTAAACAAAGAAAATATAAAATGAAAACCTCGTGCGCAACTCTCGTAAACGACAGATTTAGAAGAGGAAGGTCGAAAACCGAATTTTGCCAGATGAATGTAACAAAAAAAAACCCATTAGTGTAAGTATAAGCACAAATTTCCGTGTTATGTGAGAAATAAGCACTATACCAATAATGAGACATTGCAATTGAAGTCAGGTTATTTAAAGAAAAAAAGCAAGAAAAGTAAAAACGATCCTGCTTTGGCTGTTTGATCTGATCCATTACTATCAGTGCTGCAGAGCTGAGAACAAGCGCGGATTCTGGTGATTTTGCACAATGATCCCGACACTCCACTATTGTAACACTTTTATCCTGTAACTGATTTTGATTTAAACGTTTCATCTAAATTTCATGTAAAATTTAATTGACCAGTGCAGAAGTAACCGGAATTGTTAGGTTTCGTTTGATCGTTTTGTCTTTGCATGGATGGTACACTGATTTTTCATACATAAAAAGAAAACACCCATTGGAATGGTTGTACGTTTTTTATAAGTCATTCTTTTCATCTATTGAAGGCGAGGGCGAGTAGAAAATGGACATGGACATATCAAAACATCTGATTATCGCATACAATAATAATTAATCCTGTTTTGTTTTGCATTTTCTTTTAGAGAAATCCGAGAAACCTTCGAGGATCATTATTGTGATAATAACTGTCCGAAACAGGGCATTTATCGACGATTACAGGAACCTTCAGTCATCAAAGACAAGAGTTCTGATTCAAGAATTAACTGTGGAATTAGTTCGTTTCTTTAAAGGCATATTTGGCGACTCTTTTGAGGGAATAGTAATTATTAGTCTTTTCGAAGGAAGTGTTGGGGTTAACTTTGAATTATCACTTAAGCCATCATCGAACGTGACCAATACCACTGTTATAGAAGAACTCAAAAACGGCAATGGAACTCAAGCCTTGGCTTTTCTGGAGTTGGGCGAAATATCCGCATTAGAACAAATCCAGCCGACTACACAAATGACGGTAATGACATCACCCGCTCCATCAGGTATATGTTTAGTATAAGAGTCCTTTGTGTAATATACTTACAGAAGACTTGTGTGAGAGTCCTTACAAAAGGCTTGTGTAAGATACTTACAGAAGGCTTGTGTAAGAGTCCTTACACAAGGCTTGTGTAAGATACTTGCAGAAGGCTTGTGTAAGAGTCCTTACACAAGGCTTGTGTAAGATACTTACACAAGGCTTGTGTAAGACTCCTTACACAAGGCTTGTGTAAGATACTTGCAGAAGGCTTGTGTAAGAGTCCTTACACAAGGCTTGTGTAAGATACTTACAGAAGACTTGTGTAAGAGTCCTTACACAAGGCTTGTGTAAGATACTTACAGAAGGCTTGTGTAAGAGTCCTTACAGAAGGCTTGTGTAAGACTACTTACACAAGGCTTGTGTAAGATACTTACAGAAGGCTTGTGTAAGACTCCTTACACAAGGCTTGTGTAAGATACTTACAGAAGGCTTGTGTAAGACTCCTTACACAAGGCTTGTGTAAGATACTTACAGAAGGCTTGTGTAAGAGTCCTTACACAAGGCTTGTGCAAGATACTTACAGAAGGCTTGTGTCAGAGTCCTTACACCAGGCTTGTGTAAGATACTTATAACAGAAGGCTTGTGTAAGACTACTTACACCAGGCTTGTGTAAGATACTTACAGAAGGCTTGTGTAAGAGTCCTTACACCAGGATTGTGTAAGATACTTATAACAGAAGGCTTGTGTAAGACTACTTACACCAGGCTTGTGTAAGATACTTACAGAAGGCTTGTGTAAGAGTCCTTACACAAGGCTTGTGAAAGATACTAAAAGAAGGCTTGTGTAAGACTCCTTACACAAGGCTTGTGTAAGATACTATAATTACAGAAGGCTTGTGTAAGAGTCCTTACAGAGAGCTTGTGTAAGAGTCTTAACGGCCGAAAAGTGGGCGGCCCGATTGGGAGTCACTCCTTCTACTTCTGTATTCGGAAAGGTGAAGATTTTGTGCGCATGTCTGTAGACGCCGCGATATCGGCCGAAGTTCGCTACTTTCGCGGGATCAAGAAGATAACTGGGAGTATATTCGCAGAAATTTAACGCCTTGTTCACGTACACACTTTGCAACATTGGAAGTGTTCCTGTTTTACTACTGTTTAGCGGTGCCAGAGTACAAGCAAGCACATGCAATGTGGCAAGTCGTTGCCGTAAATTTTCATTTGGGCTTTATCACTGTAGTTTTTATACGGTAAGGAAAAACTCTCTTTGTATATGTTCAAAGCCAGTTCTATCTGGTCTTTTCCAACAAGTTGGATTAAACTTGGTCCTTCACTTTGCCCACAACGAGAATATATTACCTCAACGTAGTATCTATGTCCTGAAAACAATTTAACGCCAGATACTTGCCAGTTACATTCGGTTGAAGGAAGCCCAGCAACCGCAGACCATCCAACTCGCTGGCTGACAAGGAGATGTAAACATTCTTTACCAAGCTTCTTTTATCCGCTGCCTTGGGAAACATTGGAAAGTTGGAAAGTTGTTCAAGACTTATCAGGCACAGTGAAAACTAATAGCAACCGCCTGAAAGTTGTTATCTTTGCCTTTCTAGCAAAACGGACAATCTGTATCATTTTGTTGTTGTGGCAATGGCAAGCGGTGTTAAAATAAATATGCGTATTTGTCTTGAGCATTGTTATGAACGATCAGGCTTTCAACGCAGTATTCCCAGATGGCGATTGTGTAATTGTGTTGCTTTCGTTTTGTTTTATGATTTGTCTTCTGAATGTCATTTGCATAAGTTGAAGGCATTAATAATTTAAAAATACAAA